CCGCGGGCGCGAGATGGCGGCTCTGCCCGCGCAGCAGCGCGGCCCTCAGGGGGCGGCGGGCGGGACGCGGAGCCCAGCCGCTTGCCCTCCCGCCGGCTGCGGCGGGGCTCGGGGCGCCCGAGGTTTCCCCCTCCCCGAAAACTAATAAAACGCTGTGGTAAAGTGGTGGCGGTTCACCCGGAGGCTTCCCCCCGCCGAGGGCTGTCCCGCCGGAGCCGAGCTGCGCCGTGTCTCGGGGGGCCGGAGGAGGTGGCGCGGCCACCTGCTGCCACCGCCGGGGCGAGGGGACGGGCAGGAGGAGGTGCGTGTCGCTGCGGGCCACCGCCTGGGGTTTTACCTGGTGACCAAAGCGGGTCTAAAAGTGGGTGTCTCTTTTCCGCGTGAGCACGTTGTGTTGCGGTGGTCGTGGTTGGTAATAACCCCTCAGCCTTGGAAGGGCAGAGGGGGACAGGTGTGTTGGCGCTAGGACGGACGCTTGCGTGGGGCTTGTGGTTCCTCAGGTGCCTGTTTTCCTTCGGCATCTCATCTCGGCTTGCCTGGTTTTGAAGCCGTGAAAATTAATGGCAAGTTAAAGGCTAAAATGAGAGCTTGTGTCAAGGCTTCACCTCTGTTAAGCAGTAACGTGCTTTGAAACTGCCTGCCTGTAGTAGTGAGGGTGAGACAACAGCTTGAGCTGCCTGTTGAGCTCCAATCCTGACATCTCATCCACCTGTTAACCGTGGGTCCAGGCGAGCAGCCAGAGGCTTTTGTCTGAAACGTCGGTGTTTCTGTAGGTACAAAGTGTTTATTCCTAAATGTGCCCTTTTAAAATACTGCATAGGGGGCCAGGGGGTGGCAAACAGAGAGCAGAAAGTCTGGGGGGGGACACAGGTGAGGAAGGGGAAGTATCCCCTGGGGATCAGCAGGTGGGGGCAATGGGAGTGTTGGGTGTTGCCGTTACTGCAGTGTGTGGGCTACAAAACTTACCGAATCCACCCTCCTGAATGAAGATTGCTCTTCAGACTGTTGGGTGCCTACTTAATAGAGCTTAAATTGGTTAAGAAATTCCCTGACACATTACCATGTTATCAGTGGTTGCTCTTGATGACTTGGTTTAGTGGCTTTAATTTTGTACTTATACATTTATAATAATTGGTATATTTTAATTTTGACTGCTTTAAGTTGAAAGATTTAGCTAATGAGGGAGAAGTGTTTGTGTTTTAATTGTTTAGGTTCCAGAATAAGGTAGCACGTCTTTCTGATCTCATTTTGGAGGTGGACTGTCAGAAAGCATTGGTGTGAATAAGATCTTAGTGATGAGTGGGAATTGTTAGCATTAAAATTAAACAGGTGGTAATCATTCTGATAATGATGCTTTCTTTCTTAGTAACTATTAGCCTGTAATTAAAGACTTACCAGGATATATTCTGGTATGTTTCTTAAAAGACTGGGGTTGCAAGGGCAGCCTTAATGACAGCAAATTTACGACAGTCCTGGTGTTAATTCTGGGGGTTCTGTGTGACAGCGATAAGAATGAAGATTGCCATTTGGGGGAATTTTCAGGAGCAATTAGTGGCAGGTTAATCTTGTGACATGTCCCCAATAAACTTGTTTGCTCTTAGGAGCAGATGTGTATCTCTTTTTATTATTTTTAAAATAATGTGTTCTTTTTCTGTGTGCATTTGAAGGGGGCAAACAGCTATGGACAACTTGGTCTTGGTCATAAAGAGGATGTGCTGGTACCTCAGTCACTGAAAGATGTTTCCTGCAAATGTCAAGACATTGAAAGCATTACTGGAGGAGGGGGACATACTGCAGTTATCACTGGTAAAAACATTGCACTTGCAAGGAGTGTATGACTCTAAACACATTTTTTTCCCTATGTTTCCCTGTTGATTTGGTGCTGCCGCCTGTCTGTGGCTTCCTTTTACGAGCAAGTACCAGTTCTTAAGTGCAAAACTGTTTCTCCCTTGCCAATTAACTCAGTGTTTTGGGGAAATTAGGGAAATACCTGTTTCACTTGTCTTCTCAGGTTAGTTTTTGGCTATATGAGGACTGTTTCCTAACTTGTTTCATACAAGAGCTTTTCATATGAAGCAGTCAGTTTTGTGTATAGAGGATGAGGGGGTGGGAGGGAGGAGTCAAGTGGGAGGTTATTCAGTCTTGAGAATTTTTAAGGTAAGGAGCAGAAGATAACATCTGGCCTTTAAAAGGTTGTGTGTGTGCTGTAGCTGATTATGGGAAAGCAGGGATACAGACACATCTGAACAGTTTGAAGAACTTCATCATGGATCATAGTGAGAGGTGCCTGTATTACCATATGGATTGTCTCTCTTAACGAACCCAACTCTCTGTAGGTGTGCTTATTCACAGGTGTTTCTGATGCATCAGAAATAACTGTTCCTCTTTCTTTTTGCTTGATTGCAGTGCCTAAGATGACATACAATCACTGTTGTTATTTGTCACAGGATCTCATAGCATGTATGCTTGGCTTTTTAGTCTGTGAAGTGGAACATGATTTTTTTTGTTTGTTTGCTTTGTATTTTTTTCAGGTGCCGGAGAACTCTTTGTCTGTGGCCATAACAAAGATGGGCAGTTGGGACTGAATCACACAGAGGATGTACCGCACTTTACTTTGTGCACTGCCTTGGCTGGCTTCTGTGTAAAACAAGTTGCTTGCGGCTGGGATTTTACAATCATATTAGTAGGTAAATCTGTCTCTGTAAGAGCTGGAGAAATATGTTAATGTAGAGAACATGCTGAAAGTTCCACGTTGCTATTACTTGTGCGATGCACAGACACAGGTGTGCACAGGTTAGGGAATTGGGTGGAGAGGAAACTAATGAAGTTCAGCAAGGGCATGTGTAGGGTCCTGTGTCTAGGGAGGAATAACCCATGCACCAGTACAGGTTAGGGGTTGACCTGCTGGAAAGCAGCTCTGCAGAGAGGGACCTAGGCCTCCTGCTGGACAGCAAGTTGGCCATGAAGCAGCCATGTGCCCTGTGACCAATGGTCTCCGGGGACGCATTAAAAAGAGCATGTCCATTGGGTTGAAGGTGGTTATCCTTTCCCTCTGCTCTGCCTTGGTGAGGCCACATCTGGAGTACTGTGTCCAGTTCTGGGTTCCCCAGTTCAAGACAAACAAGGAACTGCTGGAGAGTCCAGCAGAGGACTACAATGATGATCAAGGGACTGGAGCATCTCTCTTATCAGGAAAGGCTGAGAGACGTGGGTCTGTTTAGCCTGCAGAAGAGAAGACTGAGAGGGGATCTCGTCAATGTTTATAAATATCTGAAGGATGGATGTCAAGAGGATGGGGCCATGCTCTTTTCAGTGTGCCCAGTGACAGGACAAGGGGCAACAGGCACAAACTGGAACACAGAAAATGGCATCTGAACACAAGGGAAAATGTCTTTACTGTGAGAGTGCAGAGCACTGGAACAGGCTGCCCAGAGAGGTTGTGGAGTCTTCTTATCTGGAGGTTCTTCAGAACCCACCTAGATGCGTTCTTGTTCAACCTGCTTTGGCAGGACTAGGTTGCATTCTAGATGATTCCCAAAGGTGCCTTCTAACCCTTGCCGTTCTGTGATTAAGGTGCTTGCTAATTTAATTACTCATGTTCCTTCTGTCCCAGTGAACTTCAAACCTTTACTGAACATGATGTGTAAGGCCAGACCAGAAGCCTATGGCCTCAGGGATGTTGGGAAAGGATGTGTTAGGTCCTTTTTTGAGCTACATGACTGATACTTTGCTGGTTAGAATGTTTCAGTGCTTTGCTTTTGCTTGCAGATACACTGATCGAGCTCTAATTCTTCATTTTGCAGGACCTGGCCTGGTTCTGTCCTGTGGGTCTAACTCTTTTGGACAATTGGGAGTTCCTCAAGTATCAAGTTCATACTTGATTCCACAGAAGATTGAGGTAAAGATTTAAAAGGAATTGTCCTTCTTAGCTCTGTACTTTATTGCTTCCAGCAACTTACATAGGTTGTCTCACCTCAGTGGGCTTTAAACCAGACTCTTCAACTACTTTTTATAGGGTCTGTCTGTTACAGTGAACTTACAAAGTAAAGGACCAGAGATGGTTGTTGACTCACAAATGAGAACCTAAGGCTGCTTTCCTTATTGTACAAAGAATTTGCCCACTTCTAACACAAAGTTGCCTCTTTCACTAGGAATTGTAATATTTCATAAGTATTTTGATAACATCTGCAGAATGAGTCTGATGCTCAGGTGGTGTGAAGTGATACCCAATGTAGTGAAACTGCAAATTTACTTCCGCTGAAATTTTGCCTGAAGTTTGCAAGATACTAGTTAGGTTTTGCTACATGAAGATACGTGCCTTCATTTACTTTGTTGAAAGTTTCTGCTTAACAGCTCAAAGCAAACCAAAATGAGCCAACAGTAATCCATCTCTGTAAAAAACAAACTGCGTGATGGAGTTCAACAAAGTTAGCGATGCCAATTCTTTTGATCTATTGCTCTTGTGCTTCTTGTTCAGAGAACAGAACAGCAGTTCTGTTTTTTTAAGTACATGTGCTTTTTTAAAAGTGTATTTGTAACTGTCAGTGTTTCTTCTTCCCAGATGAGGACTGTAATATTTCTTGGCTGTAAAAACAGTTAGATAAAAGTAAGCTTTGTCACCTCCAAAATAATAGGTATGTCAGAAAGTGTGTAGCTGCAGGAAAAGTACACTCGAGAGAATAAACTTTATTTTATCACTTTTGAGATGAAAATTATTTTTACTTTTGCGTGTAAAGGAACTGACAAGTACATTGACTCGCTGCTTATCTGGCCTCCAGTATTTACTAAACAATATCAACTTCTAAGGAAATAAGATAAAAAGTTATGTAACAATTTTCTCTGTTGTCAAGTATCTTCAATTGTAGATTCCAAATGCTGGACTCTGACAGCATAGCTCATGTTGTTCCTGTAAGTTACACTGAAGTTTATGGTCATACTTGTAGGTGAGGCACTGCTTAGTGTGTAGGGAGCTTGGAATGTAGCCCCAAATTAATTGCTTTTAAGATGTTTTAAGTAGCAGGCGCTGAGACTTCTGTAACATCAGAAAAGCTTTCCTGTTGCTGGCTATAAGCCTAACAGTTTAAATAAATTTCTCATAGGAATTCTAATTAATCCCTAATTTACATGGTAGTTTCTTATTTGGAGAACACTAACGAAACTCTGGTCTGTCCACATGACCTCTCACGTCTAATGAAAGTAAAAACTTCATAGCAGAAAGGATTCTCAGGCAAGAAATTTAGCCTCATGGCTCATGCCAGATACTCCTTTGCTTTTTTTTTTAAGGTAGGAGAGGAACTCAGTAGGTAATCCCTAGTGAATAGGAGTTAACTCACCTGATGTTTCTGTATATCCCTGAGAGCATCATTCCAGTATGGTATTTTGAAAATGGCAGTATTGACAGTGCTAATCTGAATCTGTGTCCTCCTTGACCATGTGGACCATTCAGTTATCTGGAATGTTTTCTCTTTTGGTTTGTATCCTGTTAAATGCCTGGGCTTGATGCCATCTATTTTAAATAGTGTTACATCTGTGAAAAGAATAATAAATTTGCAGAGTACCTGGAAGTGGAGAAGTGCCAGCATTGAAGTATCTTGTGCAAACTTAAGTCGCTCGTTTTATGCACGCATGATTTGCTATAATCATCTTTTGCATGATTATATTGGGCAACCTTCAGTGGTGTAGGTGGTGCTATCAACTGTATTGTTTGTGATCAGAGGACCTGGTAAGACTGAACAGCTTGATGGAAGTTATTACTGTTTGTCACTGGTATTTACTGCGTAGGTTTTGGTGTAATTCATGAGGAACACTGAGTTAAAATTAAGAAAGAAAACCTGTGTTGCCAAGAAGGTTCATTTTTTCGTGAGGAGATTGACTGTGGCTTTTATTCATTGCCACAAAGCTATACATCCAGTTGCTTTGCTTGATTTTATTTTTTTTAAGATGTTCTCACTAATTTTTGTTGGCCAAAATTTACTTGCTTTGTGATACAAAATGTTGATATGCATTGTGACATGCAAGCTGGCATTGCAAGAACTGTTTTCATAGCATTCCATTTATGTGTTTTGCATGTTTTGCTTTTAGAGGCACTGAACACAAAAAGCAACTAAAATATATTTTTCTTTTACTTGAATAGTTGCTCAAAGAGAAGGTGGTGGATGTTGCTGCAGGACTGAGACATGCCCTTGCTGCTACAGGTAAATATGTTCTTGTTCTTCTGGCATTTCAGTAACAAATGAAATGGAGTTTTAATGGCTTGGAGGGGAAGGAAAGAAGATGAAATTTATTTTAGCTTTTTTTTTTTTTTTTTTTTTTTTTTTTTTACAATTGAGGAACAACAAACTACACATGCTCTTTTATTTTGGTTTAATTTTACATGGACTTTAGTATGGGTTCCAGATAGCAGAGTCTAGCTGAAGATGCAGAGAAGAAGAGTGGGATATCTGGTGCCTGTATGAGTGTTGGGAATTAAAGATTCCCTGAGCTCTACGCTCAGCGATTCAGGGTTAGGTCGACTCTCTGAAAGACAAGTGACTTTACTCTTACTGGACTTACTCACTGGGTTACATACAGAATCACAGAATTGTAGGGGTTGGGAGGGGCCTTCGGAGATCATCTAGAGTCCAACCTCCCTGCCAAAGCAGGGTCACCTAGAGCAGGATGGATAGGAATGCATCCAGGAGGTATTTTGAATATCTCCAGAGAAGGAAGCTCCACCACCTCTCTGGGCAGCCTGTTTCAGCCTGTACACAAATTAGCATGAAGGGAAGGGCAGAGAAACTAAAATGAACTTACAGTAATAAATTGTGTCCATGCCAGAGGCGCCACAGATACGGGACTTTTGTTACTCAGTATAGGCCTCAGAGTGCTGAGACAGGTTGATTAGTATCTTCTTAGTTTTCTTACCTGTATAAATGAGACTACAACTGTTTGTTGCTTGACAACTTCACCAGGATTATCTGTATGTTTATGAAGTATTTTTTTTGGCATAAGGGTCTTTTAAAGTGCAATTTGAATCAGTGAAAATGAAGTGAATGTACCTTTAAAACTAATTAATGAGTTAAGTGATTTTGTTGGTGGTTGATGTGTTTTGATCTCTTCTGTCTGTTTCCTCTGGAAAGAGAGCGGTTTGGTGTTTCAGTGGGGAACTGGCATGGCATCTCGGGCAAAGCGTGCAAACCAAGGAAAAACCCTCCCCCCGTTTTTGACAGCAAAGGAGCCCTGTGAAGTAACAGGTATTTCAGGAATTAGATTCCTTTGTAAAGGTGGATAGAGAAGAAATTTAAGTTGGAGTGACATTTAGCATCCTTTTAATATCAAGTCACTTGGTATTATAAACATGGAGTGTCTGAAGGATAGAATGGGTGTACAAAGTTGTAATCTATGGGGGAAAATAGTAGTGAATCTGCAATGTCTGTAGTCCAAAAGCAGAGGCTTTTGTTATAAAACTCATCATTATCCTGTTAATGCTTGATACAGCTCTGTTTTATGCCTAAGCATGCAATGATATCTGCTGTATGAATTTTCTAAGAGTAACTTTTCTCTAGGCCTGGAAGATGTAAAGGTGAAGAGGGTTGCTGCAGGCTCCTATCACTCGGTGTCACTCACAGGTAGGCCTTAGGCATAGAAGTGAAAGTCCTTGTCTCGGCCTGTAAAGTTTTTTTGCTTTGGAAATATTTGTCACTTTTGGTTAGATGGGTAAAATTTTATCTGGCCTTGTTAGTGCTGGTTAGTTGTTTTGTAGTAGTTTTAGATTCTGGAAACTTCTGGTTTTTTTAAGAGCCAGATTCATGTTTTAAATTCTCCAGATTCTGTGTGTTTGTTCTTGGGGTCAGGTGTGACTTAGCCCTTATGAGTAAGTAAGGGTCTGGGCTCTTTACTTAATGGCTAGAAACTCTGAAAGGATTTGTGGAAGCACATGGTTGGCTAAGTCTCTGGAGCTGCAGCATGATGGTTCATTGGGTAACTGGGTGGGTCGCCGCTGGGACCAGTGCAACCCTTTGTCCATGGGGAAAGGGCATGTTAGGTGGTTGTCCCAGGAAAGCCTGCTGTGGTTATCCTGCTTCTGCTACACGAGCTAAGGCCTCTGCATGGGGCTGTGCTGTGCAGGGACGTGAGATGGTCTGAAGCTATCTTAGGTGGCTCTCGTGTAACAGTGTGCAGATCTGTCTGAGGTAACACAGGAGCACAAGGCTTATTTTAAGTAGTAGAAAAGTTGCTTTAATTAGGAATTAGGCACTTCAATAAAGTCTGGCATTTGTTCTTTGTTCTTTAGGCAGTGCTCCCATGCTGGGATATTAAGTATCTGTTAGTAAAAGTCTCATAGAGATTTTTTTTTTTTGGCACACTGGGAGAAGGAGAAACAGAATAGTTTTTCATGCTGTAATCTTACAGTATAAGTGTGGAAATTATATTGAACCTTATGAGGACAAGTCTTTGCCAAACTTCATAGGAACAAGTTCTTAGCAAATATGCGGCCATCTGGTATCTCTGTCATCATTAAATGGAGCACTGGAGTATTTGCTTATGCAGATCTACAGACATTTGTTATGGGGAGATGTTACAAGATGTAAATTATATTGAATTCTGAGATGCAAAGTGTATGTGCGATTAGTGAAGAAGAACTATAAAGACAAATAGAATCTACTTTAGCTAGTTGGCACTCTGTATTTAGAGTGAACAAATTATTCAGTCCACAGCTCCTGTAGAGAGAGCTGAAATGCAGGACAGGAGCAGCTGTCCAGGCTGGCTAATTAACAGTGTGCATGTCTGTGGTAAAGAATGGTAGGAAAATCATACAGTGGAAACACAAATTGAATGAAACATTGTTCTTTCCTCAGCGTCACTGGGTTGAGACAGCCCCTATTTGGTAGTGTTCTATATATATCACTTTCAACAAATTTTACTTCTCTGTTGATTGTAGATGAAGGACACCTGTATGTCTGGGGTAGCAACAAACATGGGCAGCTAGTGAGCAAAGAGATCTTTCTTGCTGAGCCCAAGAAGATTGAGACTCACTTTTTTTCCCATGAAAAGATTGGAGCAGTTTGGAGTGGCTGGACCCACTTGGTGGCACAAACAGGTATGGTATCCAAAAAGCAGTAATATACATCACCAAAACAATAAATTGCCTTTATTGCATGTAAACAGTGTTCTTCCTCGCTGATACTGGTTGGATGCAGAGTTTTGCAGTTTCACCTGAGCAGTGGTTATCTCTTGAAAATTATAAGGACAGACGTCCTTTGGCTTCTGTCCTTGAAGTATTATTGTGCTTATAGATCAGAGGGCATAGAATCTTTCATAAATGCAGTAGCACATGCGTGTATGCACTAGAGGGATGTAGTGTCCCTGCATCATCAAGTAACTGGTACACCAGAAACATATATATGAGCTTCTAAAGATCATTCTGCTGGGTGAGTTACGACATCTTCTTTGGAGGGAGAAGAATTTGGTGGAAAACTTGCTTCAGAAGATATAGAGGTAGGAAAATATAACTGCAGCTTCCAAGATATGTGATTATATTTGGCAGGAAGATGTGGGCAACACTCTCATTCGGGGCATAGGAATTAGGGAGGGAGGGAAGATAATTCTGAGCAAGTGTCTGTCTGAAAGGCACGAGGGCATAGATATGTGCCATTCCCAGGTTACCTGAGTGTTAGCTGAGGATCTTAAGAGTTGGCATAGCTGAGAACCCTCTGCTGCTGTCATCCCATTTGAGAAGACATGGTCTCATTGCAGTAAGTGAAATAAATTACATGGTTTTGCAAAACTGTTCTTACCTTTCTGTACTTCCAGAGCGAGCCTAGGATTTTGTACTGCTCTTTTTTAGTGAAGTGTTTTAAGAACAGATAAAATGATGTCTTCAGAAGAAAGTCAATAAATTAAAATAATTTGGCCTGTATGTGTTTTCTTTGTGGTCAAATCTAGAAAATATTTAGAAAAGCTCAGTTAAAAGAGGCGTCATTAAACATCCCCTGAAGATGAAATGAAAGACTATGTTATGTTGATGCTGTACCTTCCTGGGAACCTTTCCAGTAAGGACAGTGTGAAAGCTTGCCACATGCAGAGGGCTGTAGGGTTAGATTCTTTCCTAGGAATAGAGAAGAGAAGGGTTATGGAGTAATGACATTAATGCATGAAAGGAGGGTTGGTCTGATGAAGGTCACTTGAATGCATTTGTATTGTTGCTCTTTTGTGAAATGCAAAGGCAGGAGAGAAGGGTAGATGAGACATCTGAAACTATTTTGCGGTGTTCATGTGTGAATAGTCTTTGCTTCCCCTGTTGCAAACTGTGCTGTGATAGTGAAGGCTAACAGGAGGATGAAGGTCTTCCAGATAACTCTGAGTGTTCTGTTTTTTCTATAAGCAGGGGTAGCGTAAGTGCATTTCTGCTTTTGCTTTGTATAAACTGCCAGGTGAAGAAACGAAGGGCAGATAAAAGCGTTTTTCCTGGAGTCATCACATTGGAGGTTGAAGAGCCTGTTGGTCTGTCAGGACAACCTGTTTGTTAGGAAAGCTACGGAGGGGGGCACAGATCTGTCACTGATATTTATTGGGTTCTGTAATTATGGGTACTGATGGGTCCTGTTTCAAGGAGTGCTTAGCATTCAGTATGTGTAGTTTTATTTAAATGGAATTCTTACATGCTCATAGGTCAGCATGTGCTTAAGTGTTCTATTACATTGGTACTGTAAATCATGAAACTGTCATGCAGTAATGTCCCTTGCTTTGTAAAAAAAAAAAAGTGTCTGTTTTAATAACCATATACTGTGAACTATTGGTGCTAGAATTTGGAGGGATGTGTTGCATGACTAGAAAAACAAATTGGTTAAGTGTTCCGTTTCATAGCATTCATTGTTTGACAACAAAGTGGAGAGAGGGCATGTAAAAAAACCCCACATTACTCTATCTGCTCTCTTAGCTAATTAAAATAAATGATTTAACTCTGATTTTTAGAGGATGCTATGCTGAAAATTTCAGAGCTATAATCAATGCTACATTTACTTGGAAACTTTTCAGCTGGAGAAAAGGAATTTATCTCAATGTATATTTCTTGAATAAAGTGCTGAGTGTCATTCTCACTGGAACAGAAATGGTAGAAAAAAACCCATTAGTCAGGATAACCTAATTCTTGAAAAGAGGGTCTTGTCAACGTGGTTTCCCTTGCTTCACTATTTCTTAAAAATGTATACCTCCTATGTAAAATTTCCCCAAAGTTTTAGTAACTTTAATGTTTCCATTAGTTGATACTTATCTGTGGCCATTACAGAAATGAAGTGATTATTTTAGTAGGTGATTTTAAGATGGAAAAAAGTATGTCGAGTGACATATTTTTTTGTGTGAATGTTTGAAAGGAATTTAAGTAAAATTGGCTGACTTTTTACATCTGCATTAGAAAACTGGCCAAGCAATGCAGTGGCATAAGTTATTGCTGAAACTGAATTTTTTTTGCATTTAGAAATTTAAATCTCTTCGAAAGTAAATAGACCTGAACCTATATCATCTGGAATTAGATTTTCAATGGCTTTTGGCAGCCTCTAGGTACCAAGCAGAATCTCATGGAATTTTCAAGGGTTGCTCAGCTACTAGATATAATGTGAGCTTCAGAAACTTAACTGTTTCTGAAAAATCACTTATTGCCTGTGATTAAACTTGCAGCTAAGTAACTGAAAAATGCAACCTAGTTGAAAACTTTTCACTGCAGGTAGTTCTTCCTCCATTATTTTTACCTTTTTCTAGCAAAGGAGGAAATGCTATTTCAGTTTCCTGTTGCTGACACCATGTATATCAGTGGTCTCCAAACTTTATTGATTCTGCACCCCCAATATGTGTATACTTGTTTGTAAAATATGGTCATGTGCTACTGTAATATTATGCAAACTATAAAAACATGCACAATAGCAGTTTAAAAAAGAATGCTATAAGATTAAATAAACACTACTTAAAATATTATTTTATTAACTAAATTAAAACCATTAATAGTTTATTAATAAATTAAAATATTAACTTATTTATTATTTTCTTCCTGCCCTCCAGTGGATTCTTGTGCACATCCCCTGGGCTGCATGTGCTCCACTTTGGAGACCACTCATATAAACTGTTCCTGCTCACTTTACTCTGGAGAGTTCCCCAGTTACTGCAAAGAAAGCAAAATAGAGTGATTTTTGAACATGGGAAAACACAAGGGATATTGTAGTATGATGCTTCTCTCTGTTCATTGTGGAAGGTAAGAACATACTTTGGAAAGATGTTGCAGTGAATAGGGATTTTACTGCATGAAAGAAGGGAAACTTACGCATCTCAGCATGATGCAAAATTTAGTAGTTTAACATTTATGTTACTATATCTGAAGTCTAGGGTTGTGTTTTCCGCAGAAGGTAGTGGAATTTTGAGAAGGCATTTCATATACTTAGATTTCCATTTGGATTTTTTTTTCCAGAACATTAATCCTGGTCAGAGTAGTAATAATAAAACATTCGTAATTGCAGCTGTCTCGACAGTAAATTAAAACTTTTCTTATTGGAAAGACACAAGACTAAACTAGGTAGATAAAAGGTGGACACTCTGTTTATGCATAAATTCACAAATTCTGTCATTTCAAAATGACATTTTGATCTTTATCTGCCAGATGAGCAGTGCTTGACTGTGGAACTAACAGAACACTGCAAAGTAAATGAGTCAGTGATGTTAAAAGCAAACTTCTGGAGGAATAGTGGGCAGTTTCATGGATGCAATGGATTGACACTTTTAAAGCGAGTCCAAGCAAGTTACCAACTTTGTTATCAGAAAAGAGGGAATACAGTGTAAGTATTTTGTATTAGGCTTTCCCTCTTATGTAAACTAAACTTTTTTGAAAGGTTTGCTTTGTTTTTACTTCATGCTATTGGCAAAATTTTGCATGGTAACCTAAAGCAAAACAAACATTTTTTTTTTTCTTTCATTTCTTCCCCGCTGTCCTTAGAAGTGATTTTAATTGCTCCTGAAATCACTTTAATACCCACATGTCTTTGTGTATGTTATATTCTCATATATTTCATTCAGCAACTGTGTTGAAGGTCCTGTTTCCTGACACTTCTCTTTAGACTTTGGTCAAGTCTCATTTTATTTGCTGTTGTTTCCATCATAAAGCGATTCAGTTCAGGAAGTTAATTCCTGAGAAATTAATTGCTTGTCTTAATATTAAGTAATGTTTTTGTAGGATGTTGTGTCTTTCATCCTTACCTCATCAGCTCCAATTCTTACTCTTTTTAATCATAGAGGTGTCTTTTGGACTATATCTGTTGTACACAATCTTACTGTAAAGTGGCTCAGAAAATCCTTCAAGAAAAACAGCTGCTTCTTTTTCTGCCTTGATTATCGATTCCTACAGAAGAGAGACAATTAGGCTTTGCAGAACCACTAGTACTCCTTCAAAATAAGGAATAATATCCTACTAGTGGTGGTTCTAGTTGATGATGATTGGTCCAAAAAGATCAAGGTTGAGAGACCCGGATTGCTTTTTGATCAGGTCTCTGACAAGATACGAACTGGTTAGTGTCTGGTTTGGTTACTATTTTCTGCATGAATGCTTGTATGAAGCGACTTTCAGGCATACTGGTCAATTATGACAGGGTAGTACTGGTATTGCTGTATGTGAAGGACAGACCAGATATGTTCTTGCCTCAAACTCCAAGTGCAAGTGTGACTCTCTCCAGGCAATCGCTCTGTGAAATGGCCTGCTTCCTTTCCAGCGTTCTGCTTAATGGCACGAGGAGCACCACTGCAGTATAGGTGATAATATTTTTGAATAATAACAAGCAGCTGTCTTGCATCGGTCTGCTTAACGATGTCAACTTTAATTTGTGGTCCTTCTCAAGTTGATGCAAACCCTTTGAGGGTAGCTGCTGAAAGAGAGGTTATTGCTTAGATCATTTAAAAGAGAACTAAGTTGTGTCTTATAAATGCTGAAGATGTAAATTAAGCTACTTTGGGAAATTATAGAACTGGTCTGACTTGAAGGCGAACCTAAATATAGCAAGAGAAGTCTTTTAAAGACTTAGAGGTGAATCATCAACTTAAATTCAAAACAAGTTATTTTCTTTT